ATCGACTTTGTTCAATTCGCCAAATGATAAGAACAAGTTTCGAATAGTGGAATGTCCTCCAATTTTTTGACAAAGTTGTGCTCATTGCCCATTTACACCCAAGCACGTTGAAAATGAGTTGATGTTAATTGTAAATGATACAGGATAAATGTAGGGGTATACGAGCCTTGCTAACCCGTATACCTAGAATAAGTGTGTCGTATGTTGTTCTCTTAAGAGTGTGTCGGATAAATGAGAAGTGTGCTGGGTTATACCATTGCATTTTCCTTCCTTGTCCAGGCATGTTCATAGTAAAATCTGTTTATACCAGAATTACCATAGTGTGTCACTGTGAGTAAGAACAAAGTCTAGGCTTATTTGATGGATTCGTACTTCGGTCTACTGGTTACGTCTCTAGGTGCTGTTGCCGATGTTTTTGCATCTCGGAAGTTGATCAACGGGGCAGCAATGGTCAGATATTAGATAACTCAAGTACTTGAGCAAAGTGCATGTATACTGAACCGGAACTTCCATATACATAAATTGCCACCTGAGCGTATGAAGCACAATGGGGCGGTGGTGAGTCGTCGGTTGAAAAACACCACCGTGAAATAGGCCAACATGGCAGGTGTTCACGTAAAGCACTTCGACATTTCTTACACCCAAGCAACTTGGTTGTTGTGGTATTTGTTATGCTTTCAGGATTAGTATTGTGAAACTTCCAAAATTGCTCATTCGCTCGATATTTATCGACAATAGCTATTTGTTTTTGTAGGAGGTGCCACTCCTACTTTTTTCATAATGCCCATTTTGATGACAATTACGTATAATAAAAAATTAATCCTGTCCAGTTATGAGACAAGATTTATTCTAGATTTTCTTTAGAAAATATTAATTCGGAATGTATTAATTTGGAATTATATAGGAGTTCTCTCAAATCTGCCGCAGTTCCTTAAATATTGGAAAGGTTTCTTTTCGGAACTTATGGCAATGATCTTTGATACGGATTAAAGATTCATAAAACTCCACAATATTCTTCGTCAAGTTGAAGAGTAACTATTCTACTGAAGTATGTATGTAAATGATAGATATTTAAAGCTTAGTTATGGATTTAGGGAGCGTATAATGTAGTTGTTGTTGCTAATTTTATATTTACTTTGTAAATATATTGACTACAATAACAAGATTTATTCATAAGAAATCAGAGAGAAAAAATATAGAGGAGAAGAAGAAAACAACAACCGCAAATTCTTGTATTTCATTTCCAACATCATTTACTCAACAGTTTGTGGGTTTGACAAAGAAAGCACAACACAGCAGCGGTAGAAGTTGAAGTGATTTATAATGTTTCTGTATCTGTAAGATACGTTCCAACGAATACTTATATTTTTCTCCTCGTTGTTGTTGTTTTGCCGATGTTATTGTTGGTATGTTGTACATGGGTATGAATATTGTAGTTATTTTTATTTTTGTTCGTAAGCTTTTCTTATAATAGTCGCTGTTGTTATTGTTGTACAAAAAAAAAGTATCTGCAAAAAATACTGCTGGCATTGTATGCCAAAGCCATGACTTTGCCACAATATGTATTTTTTAGTTATTCAGTGGTATTTGTGTGAGTGTAAGTATCTGAATACGATCGAGTATGCTTTTTTTTAAGCCGGAGTTTGTCTGTTTGTGGAATTATAAATGACTTGGTATGAGAATGTAGGTCAGTGGGACATTACTAATGATTGTTTGTAAGTATGAGTTGCTGACTGAGTGAGTGTGTGGATGGTTGTTGTTGCTGTTGCTTCATTGGTATGTATCTATTTATCTTTCTTTTCTGCTATTTCTACAACCTCCATACTTCTACCGCGCTTAAGTTGTTGCTTTCTTTGTCGTAAACGTGGTCAATAATAATTCTTGTTTCGCTGTTGTTTTTTCATTTCTTTCTTTTCAAATATACCCAATAGGAAATTAAGTTTTGAGGGTAGTAGTGAATCTGTAACCATGTAAAAGATCTGAAGGACATGTCAGCACTTAGTCTGTATTTGCAATTCTGAAGGTATATTTATAAAATATTCTTTTCAAATAAACTTTTCAAATAAACTCTTAGATATTCCAACTTTCCTATTGAGGTTTTAGTTGCTGTTTTCTTAAAACTATTTTTATCGTTGCTGTTAAAAGGCTTTGTACTTTTGTTGGTCTCAAAGACATTTTTTTAATCTTTTATTTAGTTACTCTAGTGTTTCGTTTTTTTGCAATGTCATTATTTTTCTTTTATTAATTCTATAGGTTAGATTTTTAGTTGCAATGAAAAATTTTAAATATTTAGGAGTGGAACTGTTGAACTTTTTTCCAGCAATTTTTGTAATATAAAGGAAGTTGCGATGCTCGTTTTAGTTGGGTTTAAATTAAATAAATTCTAGGAACCTTATCTTGGTTAAAGTTATTATATAAATTTTGCAAAGATGGGTTAAAAAAACGACGAAATAAGAATTAGATAATCATACTATCTAGAATTGAACTAGAACTGAACTAGGACTGAACTAGAACTAAACTAGAACTAAACTAGAACTGAACTAGAACTGAACTAGAACTGAACTAGAACTGAACTAGAACTGAACTAGAACTGAACTAAAACTGAACTAAAACTGAACTAGAACTGAACTAGAACTGAACTAGAACTGAACTAGAACTGAACTAAAACTGAACTAGAACTGAACTAGAACTGAACTAGAACTGAACTAGAACTGAACTAGAACTGAAGTAGAACTGAACTAGAACTGAACTAGAACTGAACCAAAACTGAACTAGAACTGAACTAGAACTGAACTAGAACTGAACTAGAACTGAACTAGAACTGAACTAGAACTGAACTAGAACTGAACTAGAACTGAACTAGAACTGAACTAGAACTGAACTAGAACTGAACTAGAACTGAACTAGAACTGAACTAGAACTGAACTAGAACTGAACTAGAACTGAACTAGAACTGAACTAGAACTGAACTAGAACTGAACTAGAACTGAACTAGAACTGAACTAGAACTGAACTAGAACTGAACTAGAACTGAACTAGAACTGAACTAGAACTGAACTAGAACTGAACTAGAACTGAACTAGAACTGAACTAGAACTGAACTAGAACTGAACTAGAACTGAACTAGAACTGAACTAGAACTGAACTAGAACTGAACTAGAACTGAACTAGAACTGAACTAGAACTGAACTAGAACTGAACTAGAACTGAACTAGAACTGAACTAGAACTGAACTAGAACTGAACTAGAACTGAACTAGAAACTGAACTAGAACTGAACTAGAACTGAACTAGAACTGAACTAGAACTGAACTAGAACTGAACTAGAACTGAACTAGAACTGAACTAGAACTGAACTAGAACTGAACTAGAACTGAACTAGAACTGAACTAGAACTAGAACTGAACTAGAACTGAACTAGAACTGAACTAGAACTGAACTAGAACTGAACTAGAACTGAACTAGATCTGAACTAGAACTGAACTAGAACTGAACTAGAACTGAACTAGAACTAAACTAGAACTGAACTAAAACTGAACTAGAACTGAACTAGAACTGAACTAGAACTGAACTAGAACTGAACTAGAACTGAACTAGAACTGAACTAGAACTGAACTAGAACTGAACTAGAACTGAACTAGAACTGAACTAGAACTGAACTAGAACTGAACTAGAACTGAACTAGAACTGAACTAGAACTGAACTAGAGCTGGACTAGAACTGAACTAGAACTGAACTAGAACTGAACTAGAACTGAACTAGAACTGAACTAGAACTGAACTAGAACTGAACTAGAACTGAACTAGAACTGAACTAGAACTGAACTAGAACTGAACTAGAACTGAACTAGTACTGAACTAGAACTGAACTAAAAGCATAGCAACTTTTGTCTGCTTGTTTGGAGTCATTCGTATAAAAAAGATTCGCGCATTTCTATCTGAAACTAATGTATCAAAATTCGCATTACATTACTTTTACCGTTACGTAATCAGATAATCTGGTGTTTATGTAGAACCATCCAATATAACCGGTGTTCATTGGTGATAGCGATTTTGGTTAATTCGGCAAAAGATAAGATCCACTCGGCATTAGTAACGCCTCTCATCTTACACGCGTTTCGATTCGTGGAATCTCCAGCAGTGCTCTTTAGGTTAAAGTGTACGCTGGCTCTTTTCTTCATTAAAAAAACAACCCAACAATTTTTTTTAAACTTTCTTTAAGAAATAAAATTATAAACAATTTTTTTTATTAAGATTCCTTTTTTATAATTTCTTTGTAAAAATATACGAACAATTTAACTTAAAAAATAAAAATGTTTTTGTTTTTGATTTTTAAAAATAAATATTTACACAAATTAGATTTTTGAAAAGAAAACTAATTGCAGAAGAAATAAAAAAATAAAACAGACAGAAAGTGTCAAAGATAAAGAAAATTATAAATAGAAGAAATAATTTTACATAAATAATTGCACAATAATTAAATTACAAATGGAATTTTACAAATAAAGAAAATAAAATAGAAAAAACTGTTGCAAAATTTAGCAGTTAAACTATTTATTTTTGTTATTAATTTAAAATAAAAATAACTTAAATTTAAACAAATAAATACATAATAATTAATTAAATTATTTATAAAAGAAATATCATTATTTAAAAAAAAAAACATTATTAAGAAAAACAAAATTTTATGAAAATTTGTTTATATATTTTATTAAAGAAAATTTTGTTTTATATATATTAACCTGTTTGATTTATTTTCATTTCTTTTTATAAATAATTAAAACATTTTAAACAAAAAAATTTAATAAACTTACAATAAATTAAAATAAAATAACAATTAAGGTATTTTTTTTATAAATTTTAATTTTAAATTAAAAAATTAATAATAATAATAATGTTTGTTTAAATTAAAATTAAGAAAAACTGTTGCCAAAACCTTTTTCAATATTATTTGTACATAGTTTTAAATAAGTAAATTATAAGTATTAAAAACTATTTAAAATTTAATTTTTATAAATTATTATTAATTTGACAATAAACAATTTGTTGTTTTTATTTATTTTTTTAATAATATTTGAGGTACTTTTCTACGCATTTTAAGTTTTTTTTTTAATTTAATTTACAAAAATTTACTTAGGCATACTTGAGAGTGTTTTTGTATTTTATTTTTGAAATTTTTACAGTGTATTTTTAGAGTTGCCATTGAGTTGTATTGTGTGTGAGTGTGTGCTTTTTCGCCGTTTCGATAGAGACTCACAGAGTTGCATCAAAACGGAACAACAGTTGCAAAAAGACAATTGGACGCTCCGTTGTTCTTACATTGCTTGTGCTCTCTTTGGAATTCTATTGGATTGACTGTGTGTTTTATAAATGATTCTAAATGTTAACTAGTTTTGAGGTTAATAGTCTGTAGTTTCAATAATTTGGAACTGTTTTGATTCTAAAATGTTTCTTAATAGGCGTAATAATGGACAAAAAATAGTTATTTATCGGTTTTAACGAATAAGTTTTAAGTAAATTGTTTCTCAAGGAAACGAAAAGCGTGTTATTGCTAAACTTAACAAAATATCACAAAATTTGTTTAAAGCTGGTATCGGCAAAGAGCACTCTCTTGCTTCCATTTCCACTTAGACTCATCCATGTATAAAAACAATTTAACCAATTCAGAGAATTTATACCGAAGCTCTTTGCCTGTTTTAAAATATTGTATTCAGCAGGCTTGGGGGGTAATGACTACATTTTCAATTACAATTACATTTGAAGTAATTATAATTGAAGCATTACCATAAAATTTGTAATTAGTAATATATAACAATTACAAGTAATTTTAATGGAAAATTTGAATTACAATTACAAATAATTGTAATTGGTTATTGGTTAATTACACATTACAAGTGATTGCAATTGGAAAAACTTCAATTACAAGTAATTGTAATTGGTTATTGTTCTATTACACAATTGTAATTGACCTTGTAATTAATTATTTTGTGTAATCATTACCCCCCATTCTCATAAAATTTGAGAGATTAAATCAGGTATCGGCATAGAGAACCAAATGAGATTTAAGATAGGATTTGTTGCATTCATTTTAAAGCAAGAGAGCATAAACATCTCTCTCAATGTATCCATGTATAAAAACAGGCAAAGCTAAGTTTTAAAATATTGTATTCAGTTCTCATCTCTTCAATTTTTTATAGTTTGAATCAGGTATCGGCATAGAGTATTAAATGAACTTTTATATTGGTTTTGTGGCTTTTTTTATACATTTGAGAGCTTATGAACATGTAAAAGTAAGAGATAATAATTACTAATAAGAGAGCATTTTGTCGATTTGTGGCTTGAGTAGCCGAATAGATTATATATATATATATATATATATATATATATATATTTATTGAGAGAACCAATTAAATCTCTGTCATTTCATTTCACTTTTAATTTGCTTCCAATAGCAGGCTCGTCTATGTATAAAATCTAGCAAACGGCATCAGGGAGTTCATAAAGGAGCTCTTTGCTGATGCCTGGTTTAAAATATTGTATTCAGTTCTCATCGGAATAGAGTGTCAGAGTATGTTAAAGCAAGAGAGCATAAATATCTCTCTCAATTAATTCTTCTCTTTCTTACTTCCATTCACACGCATATTCATTCATGTATGAAAACAAGCAAACCCAATCAAGAGTTAATAATGAAGCTCTTTGCTAATGCCTGATTTAAAATATTGTGTTCAGTTCTCATCTCTTCAACTTTTGGTAGTTTAAATCAGGTATCGGCATAGAGTATTAAATGAGCTTTTAGCTGGGTTTTGTTGATTTTTATACGTTTGAGAGCTTTAAGAGTAAAAGTAAGAGAGAGCTTTCTGTCGATTTGGGGCTTGAATAGTCGAATATGTTCTCATCTATTCAACTTTTGGTAGTTTGAATCAGGTATCGGCATAGAGTATTACATGAGCTTTTTGAGAGCTTACGTACAAGTAAAAATAAGAGATAATAAGTACTAATGAGAGAGCCGTTTGTCGATTTGTGGCTTGAATAGCCGAATAGGATAAAAAGGATAAATATATATTGAGAGAAACAATTGAATCTCTCTCATTTCATTCTTCGTCTCTCTTGCTTCCATGTATGAAAGAAAGCTAACACCATCAGAGTGTTCATAAAGGAGCTCTTTGCTGATGACTGGTTTAGAATATTGTATTCACTTCTCATCACCTTTGAGAGTGTCATTGGTCTATAACTTGTCTGCAGAACAAAATAAAAGTTTATCGGACCAATTTAATCTCTTTTACTTCTTTCTAAATCCTTATTATGATTAAGAGAGAAATGTCCTTTCCATAACGAAGTCCTCTTCGAGATGATGTCATAAGCTTAGACGCCTCTTATCAAACAACTTTTTTTGATCAACAAAAAAGTATTACATATATAGCAAGGAGTTATTGTTTTAAGCGAGAGAGAGAGAGCAGGAGTTATGTGAGAGGAGGACTCTGGAAGCTATTTGCCTCTTACTCTTTTAAGTAAACTAGAGTTTGTTCTACCTAAATGTTTAACTAAACTAAAATGAAATTTTGTTAAAAAAAAATTTCTTTAAAAACTAAATTTTGTAATAATTCTACTATTTTTTGTTTATAAGAATAACTAAGAGATCAAAAGCAATCAACAACAACGAATAACAATTGATATTTGTTTTTCTTTGTATCATTTTCATGTAGCATGTAAAATGGTTTTATTCAGGCTTTATAACCAATACCTGTAGCAATCAAAGATTAAACCAAATTTCCCAATTGATCGTATGGAGCACTTTGTTTTATTTTGCTTAGAGCAAAAAAGCTCTAGCAAAATTAAAAAAAAAAATTATACAACAAAATAAGAAAAGTTTTTCAGTTTCTCTAAATAAACAAAATCTATTTAAAATAAATTTTATTTTTATAAAAAAAAAAAAAAAAACAAAAGAATAGAAAAACTTATTTCCATTTTGTTAAAGTGCTGCATCCGTTCAATATGTTGGTATACTTTGAGCCGCCTTGGAACGAATGAATCGTTAGGAATAAAACCAAATCACACACAGTGGGAAAATATTTGGAAATAAATTGTATTAAAACAAAAATTGAATTTTTATTTTAATAATTATTTGCAAAAATTTTCGACAAGTTCTTTGTTTGTTTTAGGTTCAAACCAGAAACATACTACAAAAGTGCTGGGGGTAGGGGTCTTAAGAAGGGTTAAGGATGTAAGAATACTTTGGGTTTTTGTAGTATGATCGGTTTGAAACGAAATTCTTCATTATCCATTCGTATGGAGTGGTAATTAGAAGTTTTCGCCGAGGCTTGATTCTGATGTCAGTCACGCCCAATTCTCTTATGTATCTGTTGATGTTTGAGCAAATGAGCCTTTTGTCGAAAGGCTTTAGCACACACTTCACAACGAAACGGTTTCTCTCCCGTATGCGTTCGCAAATGTACCTTAATGTTACTTTTATTGAGAAAGCCCCGATTACAAATACTGCAACGATGTACAGGCTTCTCCTTACCCAGAAGACCCGTCAGGTCGTTGGCATTAAAGTTGACCGAGGAGGGTGATGTTATGGAGTTCATTTGTTGCGGCTGTGAACCGTTTTGTGGGCCATTGCCGAGCGAGGATGAGGCTAATGTGGACGCTGATGATTTCTTCTGTGATCTAGATCTTTTGGTTTTTGGTGTGCCGGTGGGTGTAATGGTGGTCGTATGCGGATAATTGCCCATCATGTCCGGACTGCAGATGCCTTCAGATTTCATGGAAATCTGATATTGAGCAGGATTGGTAAGATAGCGGGGATTGATCATGAGATTATCTGTGGTGGAGACCACCGAACCAGGTGGACTGGCCGATGTGGAGGTCGCCGTCGTTAATTCATTACAAAATGAGGTAGAACTAGGCGCTTCACCCTTAATATTGCCCGAGGGTGGACCGTTTTGTAGGCGATTTTGCAACAAGGGCATATAGCCATGTGTCAGCAGACTCTGTAGCGTAGAACTACTAGGATGTACGGGCGACTGGGGTAGTATAAACTCACTTAAGGAATCCTGCTGTGACACCACCAATTTGCCCTCCTGCTGTATACAATTGCCCTCAATCCAAGCATCCAAATCGATCCAGGAATCGCGAGTATCATTGCCATCATCTTTGTCCATTTGATTAGGTACCGTAGTATCAGCTATTGCACTGCCAATTATTGCCGCTATATCATCGATGGAATTCATATCCACATATTCGGTTAAATCCTTAGCATCTGCATATATTCTAACACCACCCGAATCGGGATCCTGACCACCATTTAAAATTGCAGATGTTGTACTATTGTTCGAGGGATGGGACATAACACAGCTGTCGGCCAAAGAATAAAGCTTACTATCTAATTGACTATCGGCAAAGAGTTTAACATCATTTAGGCAGGCATCGGCATCCGAACTTAAGACACTTTCAGGCAGGCAGGTGGAGGAGGAAACAATATTATGATCGGCTGATGAATTATGACTACTGGACAAACTCATGCCACCTCCACCGCCGCCACCACCACCGCCATTCGGTGAGTTACCCGTTGAGGAGGCGGCCAGCTGTATAGTTGTGGCTCCCAATATACCCGTTGACGAAGGATTTGTCGTCGCTCCCGTATGATAGGCCGATTGTATATAATTATTATTGCTTTCATCCGGCAGCCTCTGGGCTATGGCATGATAATGATGACCCGATATGCCATTTATTGATAAATGTCCCGTATAACCGGTAAAGGGTGGTAGTGGCTTTAAATCTGACAGCGCATTCAAAGACGAAGAGTTCATTAACAAATTATCCAAAACATCTAGGGAATTCTTTTGTTCTGTATCACTGGGCAGTGAGTCAAGATCATGTTCTAACAATAATTTATGGCCGTCTAGTAAATATTGATCTTGACTGCCGTTTTGTGCAGGGCCCCAGCAAGGACTCATTAAAAGGCTTTCAACTTCTGATTCTGTTGGTCCGTTCATACTGCAAAACTTCATGGTATTTTGTGAAGTTTTTATTTAATTCAGTTTTTATTAGCGGTATATTGAAGAAAACCCAATAACCGCTTTTTTGTTGTTGCTGGTAAGAGTTGAAAATATTAATTTTATTTTTGGGTGTGAGGGAAGAAAATTAATATTTAAGGGATTTATGTTTGGCGGGGCGGGGTATAAGTTTGGTTGGTATTAACACTTTTCCAATGGGTTGGGAGGGTGTTGTGGTTTTATTTAGCTCACTTTTGTTGTTGTTGTTTGAAGTTTTATATATTATTACAGGTTTTTATAAATAAAAAACGTTTTAAATGTCGTAAATGCATTTTAACCTGCAAGTAAAGAGAAAAAAATTAGAATTAGAATTCATTTGTTTATAAATACATACATATGTATGTATGAGTGAAATGATAACCTAAATAAAAATTCCTTTAGAATATTAAAATTATTTATATTTATGGTTTTTATTTATTAAAATTTACAGCTAAATAAAACAATATTTTTACATGGACAAAGAAAAGTCCAGCAAATTTCTATATTTTGCTAAACTAAACTTCTACATTCACTTTCAAACAGAGTTGTAGGTTGTTGTTGTTTTATACATTTTTTATTGTTTAAAATTAATTTATTTGTTTCAAATTCAAAAAACAAAATCGTGCTGTTTTATAAAATAAAGCGAAAGTATGAAACGGTGATTTTAATATTGTAACGGCAATATTTTAAAAGAAATTCAAATTTAAGAATCAACTGAATTTAAATTTGTTTATATGTATAGTATGGGAATCTATTCTACAATTTTTGATAGTTATACACTAGAACATAGATTAGACTTTCGACTAGACTATAGACTAGACTATAGACTAGACTATAGACTAGACTGTAGACTAGACTATTGACTAGACTATTGACTCGACTAAAGACTAGACTATAGACTAAAAGGGACTATAGACTGAAGACTATAGACTAGACTATAGACTAGACTAGACTATAGACTAGACTATAGACTAGACTATAGACTAGAACTAATAGACTAGACTATACTAGACTAGAACTAAATATACTAGACTATGAGACTAGACTATAGGACTAGACTATAGACTAGACTATAGACTAGACTATAGACTAGACTATAGACGAACTATAGACTAGAACTTAGACTAGACTAGTAGACTAGACTATTGACATCGACTAGACTAAAATATGAATAGACTATAGACTAGAATATAGACTAGACTATAGGCTAGACTAGACTAGACTATAGACTAGACTCACTAGACTAGACTATACTAGCTATAGACTAAGACTATAGACTAACTATAGACTAGACTGAGACAACTATAGACTAGACTAATAGACTAGACTATAGACTAGACTATAGACTAGACGATAGACTAGACTAGATAGACTATAGACTAGACTAGACTAGACTATAGACTAAGACTAATAGACTAGACTATAGACTATAACTATAGACTAGACTATAGACTAGACTATAGACTAGACATAAGACTAGACTATAGACTAGAACTATAAGACTAGACTATAGACTAGAACTATAGACAGAACTATAGACTGACTATAAGACTAGACTATAACTAGACTAGACTATAGACTAGACTATAGACTAGACTATAGACTAGACTATAGACTAGACTATAGACTAGACTATAGACTAGACTATAGACTAGACTATAGACTAGACTATAGACTAGACTATAGACTAGACTATAGACTAGACTATAGACTAGACTATAGACTAGACTATAGACTAGACTATAGACTAGACTATAGACTAGACTATAGACTAGACTAGACTATAGACTAGACTATAGACTAGACTAGACTAGACTATAGACTAGACTAGACTATAGACTAGACTAGACTATAGACTAGACTATAGACTAGACAATAGACTAGACTATAGACTAGACTATAGACTAGACTATAGACTAGACTATAGACTAGACTATAGACTAGACTATAGACTAGATTATAGACTAGACTATAGACTAGACTATAGACTAGACTATAGACTAGACTATAGACTAGACTATAGACTAGACTATAGACTAGACTATAGTCTAGACTATAGACTAGACTATAGACTAGACTATAGACTAGACTAAGACTAGACTATAGACTAGACTATAGACTAGACTATAGACTAGACTATAGACTAGACTATAGACTAGACTATAGACTAGACTATAGACTAGACTATAGACTAGACTATAGACTAGACTATAGACTAGACTATAGACTAGACTATAGACTAGACTATAGACTAGACTATAGACTAGACTATAGACTAGACTATAGACTAGACTATAGACTAGACTATAGACTAGACTATAGACTAGACTATAGACTAGACTATAGACTAGACTATAGACTAGACTATAGACTAGACTATAGACTAGACTATAGACTAGACTATAGACTAGACTATAGACTAGACTATAGACTAGACTATAGACTAGACTATAGACTAGACTATAGACTAGACTATAGACTAGACTATAGACTAGACTATAGACTAGACTAGATAGACTATAGACTAGACTATAGACTAGACTATAGACTAGACTATAGACTAGACTATAGACTAGACTATAGACTAGACTATAGACTAGACTATAGACTAGACTATAGACTAGACTATAGACTAGACTATAGACTAGACTATAGACTAGACTATAGACTAGACTATAGACTAGACTATAGACTATACTATAGACTAGACTATAGACTAGACTATAGACTAGACTATAGACTAGACTATAGACTAGACTATAGACTAGACTATAGACTAGACTATAGACTAGACTATAGACTAGACTATAGACTATACTATACTAGACTAGACTAGACTATAGACTAGACTATAGACTAGACTATAGACTAGACTATAGACTAGACTATAGACTAGACTATAGACTAGACTATAGACTAGACTATAGACTAGACTATAGACTAGACTATAGACTAGACTATAGACTAGACTATAGACTAGACTATAGACTAGACTATAGACTAGACTATAGACTAGACTATAGACTAGACTATAGACTAGACTGTAGACTAGACTATTGACTAGACTATTGACTCGACTAAAGACTAGAATATAGACTAGACTATAGACTAGACTATAGACTAGACTATAGACTAGACTATAGACTAGACTATAGACTAGACTATAGACTAGACTATAGACTAGACTATAGACTAGACTATAGACTAGACTATAGACTAGACTAGACTAGACTATAGACTAGACTATAGACTAGACTATAGACTAGACTATAGACTAGACTATAGACTAGACTATAGACTAGACTATAGACTAGACTATAGACTAGACTATAGACTAGACTATAGACTAGACTATAGACTAGATTATAGACTAGACTATAGACTAGACTATAGACTAGACTATAGACTAGACTATAGACTAGACTATAGACTAGACTATAGACTAGACTATAGACTAGACTATAGACTAGACTATAGACTAGACTATAGACTAGACTATAGACTAGACTAGACTATAGACTAGACTATAGACTAGACTAGACTATAGACTAGACTAGACTATAGACTAGACTAGACTATAGACTAGACTAGACTATAGACTAGACTATAGACTAGACAATAGTAGACTATAGACTAGACTATAGACTAGACTATAGACTAGACTATAGACTAGACTATAGACTAGACTATAGACTAGATTATAGACTAGACTATAGACTAGACTATAGACTAGACTATAGACTAGACTATAGACTAGACTATAGACTAGACTATAGACTAGACTATAGTCTAGACTATAGACTAGACTATAGACTAGACTATAGACTAGACTATAGACTATACTATAGACTAGACTATAGACTAGACTATAGACTAGACTATAGACTAGACTATAGACTAGACTATAGGCTAGACTATAGACTAGACTATAGACTAGACTAGACTATAGACTAGACTAGACTATGACTAGACTAGACTAGACTATAGACTAGACTAGACTAGACTAGACTAGACTATAGACTAGACTAGACTAGACTAGACTAGACTATAGACTAGACTAGACTATAGACTAGACTACACTATAGACTAGACTATAGACTAGACTAGAGTATAGACTAGACTATAGACTAGACTATAGACTAGACTATAGACTAGACTATAGACTAGACTATAGACTAGACTATAGACTAGACTATAGACTAGACTATAGACTAGACTATAGACTAGACTATAGACTAGACTATAGACTAGACTATAGACTAGACTATAGACTAGACTATAGACTAGACTATAGACTAGACTATAGACTAGACTATAGACTAGACTATAGACTAGACTATAGACTAGACTATAGACTAGACTATAGACTAGACTATAGACTAGACTATAGACTAGACTATAGACTAGACTATAGACTAGACTATAGACTAGACTATAGACTAGACTATAGACTAGACTATAGACTAGACTAGACTATAGACTAGATTATAGACTAGACTATAGACTAGACTATAGACTAGACTATAGACTAGACTATAGACTAGACTATAGACTAGACTATAGACTAGACTATAGACTAGACTATAGACTAGACTATAGACTAGACTATAGACTAGACTATAGAACTAGACTATAGACTATAGACTAGACTAGACTAGACTAAAGACTAGACTAAAGACTAGACTATAGACTAGGCTATAGACTAGACTATAGACTAGGCTATAGACTAGACTATAGACTAGACTATAGACTAGACTGTAGACTTGACTATAGACTTGACTTTAGACTAGACTATAGCCGAGACTATATACTATAGAATAGAGTACAGACTAGACTATAGCATAGGCTATAGCCTGGTCCATAGACTAGAATATAGATTTAAGTATATAATATATTATAGACTAGACCAAAGACTATACTGGATTGGAATATATGTAGACTATATACTATAAACTAGAATGTGAAGTAGACTTTAGACTATATGTTATACTTTTGATTAGTGTATAATCAAGAAAAAAAGTAAAACAATTGAATATAGTATGTGTCTTAAGTCTCTTGTTTTTATAAGCCATAAATTTAAAACAATGTTTTGTTCTTAAGCCTTTCATTACAAATAAAATTAATTAAAAGTCTTAAGAAACATACTTACAGGAAGTGGCAATTTAATAAGATAATATTTTACTCTCTCTCTCTCTCACTGTCATTACTTCCTCAACAAGTATGTTTCTTAAGTCTTTTACTTACCATGGAACTAAACACAGTTTGGTTCTTAAGTTTTTCAACAAAGAAGAAAATAAAT